ATTTTGACAAAACATACCTGTTTTCGTCACCTCTTCATTGTGTTTTTGTATATTTATCCAATAAGCAGAGTCAAGTTGGGCCTGTATATTAAGTTTCCCAAATAATGCAAATCGCATTTCATTGTTCATATAAGTTTGCGTGTTTTCATGCTTCTTTAATTTTTCACTTAAATGCACTAGATCCCGCACTCCTGTCTCGCGCCACAATTTTTCCTCTTTATCTGCGCCGAATAATGCACACGGAAAACAGAAAAAACATTTTTTCGGAACATCCACAATCCACTGATTTCGTAGATACATGTCTTTATTAAATTTACGCGTATATGTTTTTCCACGCTTTTACCGACACTTCAATATTAAGATCAGCATAGGACGGCCACGTCTTTTATAATCAACTGTTGTTGATAGTGAAGTTTTTGAAATTTATTTACACCTAATTTAAATTGAAACTCCATTGTTTTAAACACGCTCGAACAAAACAAATTAAACAAAATTGTAACCTAAGAATTTCTAAACACGGCACAGATGCAACGTCACGAATAACTGTCGTGAATTGCAGCTCGCAAACACATTTCCGAGCCGTTAATCAGCCGATTGCCGAAGCACATCGGCTAAGATCGCCGTTTGCCTAATAAATGCATTTTACCGCTGCCAGTGTTCGGTTGTTATCGACGCGGCTTCACTGGAGCAGCAAATACGTAAAAAGATTGCTTCACTGGAGCACCAAATACGTAAAAAAATTATACGGTTTCACTAGAGGAGTAAATACGTAAAAAAAATAATATTAATCATCGTTGTTGGTGAATTATTATTAACAGTTTATGTTTAATATGATAATATGGCAGATTTGAAATAAAACTATATTAATTATTCTTTAATAATTAAGATTTGCTATGGTTGTTTGGTAGTTCTGCAGCTCAGCAGCACATAAAGAAAAGCCGCCACTGATGCATATTATGATATATATAAATGTGTATGCTGGGAAGGAAGACGGATAAGTTGATGGAACGCTTTGTTCCATCAGCTCTAAGTCTAAAGCTGCATAGTTGGAAGGGACGTCGAAGATGACCACCTAAGCAAAATACATTTTATTTAATGGTAAAAAAATATTTAAGGTAACTTTGAATGCTACGAAGAGCCTGTAATTTGGACATTTCAATAACCAATTTCTAGGATTATTTTAAATTCAATAAAAGGAAGTATTTTTTATGCGGCTTTTTTAAAAAAACGCTTTTGCGCCATCTTACCTTCCACCGAGGGAAAGATGACGCACCAATGATGGGTGAAGATGGCGCATGTAGGTATCTATATAAAAGCGCAAGTGATATGAAAAGAAAATTTATATTTTTAATACTGAAAGTAAGAAATGTAAACAAAGCTTTTTTAACATATTAAACAAAAGTCACCAATGTAGTTTCGGGACTTTTGGCTCCACTGCATTCTTTATGCACCCATTGTACCACAACTTGTGCATCTGACCCATGTTTCCGTCTTTTTGCCGAAGTCTCCACATAATATGCAGATATCAGTTTCACCTCCCTCGTTGATTATGTCATCCAACTCATCGTCATTGTAAAGACCTTCTTCATCAAAATCGCTTTCTTCAGTATCGCTATCCTCCAAGATTTTTTTGTTTATTTTTGTGTTTGATTATTTTTTGTACTTTGGCTTTCCCTTTATTTTTATTTAGTTTTAATCCTGCCATCATTAACCAATACTTGTCTGGTTACTTTTTTCTTTCCTTCTTCCGACTTCGCCAGTTTTTCTTTTTTTTTTATTTCTTTTTCTTCTAAGATTCTTTTAAAGGGGTGCTTGTTAGAATTTCAGAATGTTGCTTTTGTCGTCCATATTTTCTTTTAATTTTTTTATTGGGCAAAGGAACTGGAGAAATAAGTGAAAGAGAAATATGTGGACGTTTGGTTATTTCATTTTGTTTTGTGGGGGTTGTGTGACGACTTTCAGGAGACTGTCGGCTGGTTGATGGACGTGGTAATTCTGGTTCTCTTATAGATGGTGTTGTTATTAGTGGAGGTGTTCCCTGAGGTGCAGTTCAGGAGAAACATCTCTATCCAAGCTATCATTGTTTAAATTATCAGCAGGAAAAAAGTCATCTTCTGTGAACTTATCCGAGTTTAACGGAAAAATTCCGCACGTTCCGAACCAGAAAACGGCCTTATCAATATTTGCCACCTGATCATATGCTAACTTAAAAAATCTCGGCGACATCATATGGAGTAAATTTTATCTTCAAACTCTGAGTTTGCTGATCTTAGATTTAGAAAGGAATTGCAATGGCGACCATACGCATATTTTAATGCAGAAAAAAATGACACATCAAGAGGTTGTAATTTGTGGGATGTGTAGGGTGGAATACTAACCATTATAATCCCATTCTCTTTGCAGTAATTATAAATATCCAGTTGAAATATGGCTCGAGTGATTATCTAATACTAACAACACAGGATTATCTGGACTAGACAGGACTTTTTTTGGAAATGCTTCAGCCATAATAAAAACATAGACGTATTACTTCATCCATTATCCGTGCAGTTGTAAATCGCACCGCTTGGTCCATTTTTCTGAAGCTGGTGGGGCTCATCCTCTTCCTGGGAAATATAAATAATGGAGGTATGTAGTTACCGGAGGCACTGAACGCCAATATTACCGTGATATTCTTCCCTCGTTCCCACGAAGAAATGATTCCAAACTGCTTTACTCCTTTGGTCCAAGTCTTTTACATGATTCTTTAGGGAACCGTAGATATACCGGTTTCATCAACATTGTAAATGCGATCTGGCAGAAATATTATATTTTATCTTGCACTGTTTCCAAATTTTAAAAAAGCGGTCTACTTCTATTTATATTGAAGGCTGTTATTCTATTAATGCTTGTAGCTTCTGGCTTCCTCAAGGAAATTTGAGGATTTCGTTTATAAATCCTAGATACAGTTTTTTCCAGTAATTTGTTTATATCTTATTAAATTTGTGTTTAATTTCATTGCGGTTCTGCATAAGCAAATGCCATGGTTCTCAGCTCTATGTAAGTGATACCAAAAAATAAATTGGCCAGCTTGAGAACATGATCTATATCTCCTTTTCATTATGTGCCGAAAACAATGGGGCTCTACCAAGAGACTCTGATTTGACTTCCTTTAATAAATTTTTAAACCTTAAGTTTTCTCCTCATGTAGCTTCTGGTATTGAAAAGTGCCCTTGCCACTTCCCGAATTTTACGACAATCTCTACAAATTGCATTCAAATGCTGCATTAAGAGCTGCTGCAGAAAATGATCCTCTCTGTGTTTTTCGTATATATTTTCCATTTCTAAAAAAGAAAAAGATGCCTCAGAATGCAAAATAGACACTCAATAATAAATATCTATACTCCATTGTTATTTTAAGGTAATGAACTGAAAAGGCAAAGATGACGCAGTATAACAGCAAAGATGACGCAGTCTGCGTCAACATTAGCCTGTTCAGCATAACCTACAAAAAATGGTTATCAAAATTATCCATCATCAAATATTTAACAAATAAATCCTCGCTAACTGAAAATAAATATCACCTACTCCCATGAATATGAAGAAAATCCAATGGAAACCATTTTTAAACAACTTACCATAAATATTCGCAGTGTCAAAAATAACAAGATAATCAACGTGTAATCGCGTTACTCTGCCTCACAGATACTAAAACAGTACGAAAGCTGACCGATGAAGTTTTTAAAGTAATAGTAGTTTCTAAAGGAGGGCGCCACGGGATATAAAAACTGAATTAGTGAAGTACTTGATAAAATACAGAGTGCGTCATCTTCCCCGTCCTTCCCTACTATGTTTGACAGATTCTATTCCTCGGTGAAGCTCCTGAAAAAGATTATATTTTCATCTGCAGGAACGGTTATTGCAAACAGGAAAAATCTAATAAAACCCACCAAAAAATTAATTAGGCAAGAATCTGAGTTTGTTTTAAATAAATATGGTATACTTACTTTGTGTGGCAAGATACCAAGTAAGTCCTAATTCTTAATAACTGACATGGAGATGGACTTGCAACTGTAGTGCACCGCGATAAGGATGGGATTAGAAAAGATGTTGCCTGACCAAAGGCAATTAGGTAGCTTCTACAACAATTTTATGGAAGAAGTGGATTTAGCAGATCTAATGGCAGGTTCATACGACATGGATCGAAGATCGAGAAATGGTGGAAAAATGTGCTTTTTAGACTGCTTTTGTTTGCTGATGTAAAGAGTTGATTAATCCACAATGATCTTTATCGGAAAACATACCTTTTCTTGAATTTTTACCAGCTCCAACTGAAGAGCTGATTCATTTAGAAAGGCTACCTCAAAAGTTTACATAAGAAGAAGGTTGACGGGAGGCAGTCCAAGACGGCAAAAAGCATGATAAATAATGAAAAAATATCTGCCAGTCGAGGGTGAAACATATCAACGTTGTCCAAGATGTTCCCAACGGGAAATAAAAAACAGACTTCATCATTGTGCAGAATGTGTCAAGTTCCACTTTGCAGAAATTGCTTTATGCCATATAACACTTAAAACTGTAAAACACTTTTACCTTTTTTTATAGGCTACTGGGATATATGTCCCAGTTAACAATACCGATGAAACACATAATATATCCCATCTGCCAATGTCAAAATTAAGAAAAAAATCTTATTCAAACCTAAACGATTTCAACTCCGTTTACTCAAGTAACAAAAGGTGGGCGAAAGGTTAAACCTTCGTAAGATAAGAAGCGTGAAATAAAAAATTATAGCGGTTGTTTTTGTTAGCGGAATCTGGCGTCACTTAGACCAGATGTCAGATCTTGTTAATTTTTGTTTAAAATATTGAATGATTTTATAAATGTATTAAAAAAAAAACATGAAATCCTTATGATATTTATATGGGATACAAAAATGTAGAAAAGATTTTTAGGATATGATCGTGTATCCATCACATATAAGTACTCTCTAAAAATGTAACTGTACATAACAATAGTTCTTAAAGTAATTTATTACTTTCGTCATAATAGTTTTCCCTGTAAATTTTGTTTAAACGTCGTCGTCCTCTAAAGCATTTCCAAAGTCCATATCTAGCCTCCCAATCTTCAAAAAATAGCTCTGGTTTGTTCCATAAAATATGGTGTTGGGCATATTCGTATTCAGTTTTTAATGGTGGGTTTAAATGTGGAGCCAGTTCAGCTCTGCGTTCGATAATAGTTCTTACGTATTGGTAAAATATTTTGGCATTATGAGTGTAACAAACCAGAGTTAGTAATGCTAAAACAGTGGCATGTAGATGATGGACCTTACCAAGTCTTTTGTCGTAATGCGAAAAGCGTATTCCTGAATGCTCATAGCCATGGTTACGATACATGAAGCGGAATATCCACAAGGTATTTCTATAATGAGAAGGGCAACCGTTCTATAGACATTTTCCAACTGTGTTTTATCATTGGACACTAAAAAACTATTCATGATAATCTGATAAATCAGTTGACGCATGCGCTTGAACAAGCTCTTGTCCTGTTGACGGCAGCTTCTTATTTTTAAATAGTAATCGCAGTCTTGAAAAAATATCTTGGGCGATAGAAAATGCTCTCCGTTTTTCATTCTGTCTAAAATTTTCTGCGCTATTTTTAAACCAAACAAAACTACGATAGGCGAGGTAGACTGGAATAAACTAATAATTATTGGCAGTGGTCCTTCTGAAAAACATGTGTCACCTGAAACAAAAAAATAATTTTTAGTTAAGTCACAGAATAAATAACAGAATGCCCACTCTCAGATGCCGCCTTTGCAGTTTGTTAGCACGCGAACGCCATGTTTTAGAAGAAGAACGCCATGTTTTACAGAACTGTAATTAAAATTTTTAGAGGTTAATAATTTAGCACATTTGAAATAATTTAATCTATTCTTCAACTAAAAGTACGAATAAAATAGTGCATATTATGTCTGTAGTTAACGTAATAAAATTAAACCGGGTTAATCCGGCTTAATTAAACTAATCCCTTTAAACCCCTTAACGGGCTTAATTAATCCCGTTAAACTATCAGCAGAGTGTAAATGTGAATAATTATAGTATTGAGGTCTCTGACATTAATTAATAGTGTTTTAAAGATGCCTTGGAAATTATCGCTTGGACCAGATTGTTTGCCAGCTTATGTTCTCAAGCATTGCATTTTCACTCTTGTAAAACCTATCTGCTACTTATTTAATTCCTCATTGAGTACCGGCATCTTTCCTGATCTTTGGGAAGACTAGTTATTTAACACCAATTTTCAAGTCTGGTAATAAAAATGATGTTGAGAATTATCGAGCGGTTTTGTAGCCAATCTGTATTATCCAAACTTTTTGAGTGTCTTGTAAATAACTTTTTGACATGGAATTGTAAAGATTTAATTGATGTTAGACAACATGGCTT